TTTTTTTTTTTTTTTTTTAAAGATTTTATTTATTTGAGAGAAAGAATGAGAGAGAGAGAGAGCACATGAGAGGGGGGAGGGTCTGAGGGAGAAGCAGACTCCCCGCCGAGCAGGGAGCCCAATGTGGGACTCGATCCCGGGACTCCAGGATCATGACCTGAGCCGAAGGCAGTCGCTTAACCAACTGAGCCACCCAGGCACCCCACACCTGGCTTTTTTTGGACAGTCAGGAAATGAAAGACTCCACAGAAGCAGGGGTGCCAGATAGAAAACAGCACAAGTTAAATTTAATCTTTGTATTTTTTTTTTTAGTATAATTATGCCCCAAATATTACATGGGACCTACTTATACTAAAAATTAACTTATATTTTGGGGCGCCTGGGTGGCACAGTGGGTTAAGCATCCGACTCTTGGTTTTGGCCCAGATCATGATCTCTGAATTGGGGGATCGAGCCCCACATAGGGCTCTGCTGCTTAGCAGGGAGTCTGCTTAAAATTATAACTCCCTCTGCCCATCTCACTCGTGCTCTAAAATAAGTAAATAAATCTTAAAAAAGAAATAACTTGTATTTTTATTTGCTAAGTCTGGCAACTCTGCAGAGTGGGCATCTCTGACCTCGGAGTCCTACAGTAGTAAGAACGTGTGATCACCATGGGTTTGTTTTCCAGAAGGAGCTCATCACTCCTCATTAAGTTTTTAATCATCTTTACTTGAAGAAGTGAGTCCGGGACTTCAGTAGTTTAGCTTGGAACTAGCATGATATGGAAGGATAACAGAACTAAACAAACACAAAAGGTGTCTAATTTAATCTAAAAACCAGGTTTCGGATTCAGTAGAACTGCTTAGGTTAACTGTCCAACCAGCCCCAGAAAACTGCCGAAATTTTTAGGAAATTTAAGCATGTCTGTTTTTTCTTAAGGCACAATTTCATATTTCAACTCATATTTTGAGTTCGCAAAGTTTCCACTAGAAACAAAAGGGCGATTGTTAACAGCTATACCGAATGACTGAGCAGATAAAAAGGGCAAAAGTAGAAAATCAGAACTCACAATCTGACCCTCAGTTCTTTACTTGGAATCTTCCACAATACCACCATTAAAAAGAAATTTTCATTCTCATTCAAAAGCAATCCATTGGCGTTTTTCCTGGACTTGGAATGTGCCAAGAGAGCTTCCACCGCCTTTCTAATCTGCAAAGTAGAGACACACAAATAAATTAAATCTCAATCTAATTTAGCATTTGCGCCCTCCTCCGCATTTTTTCCTTTTTTTTTTTCCTCCTCAAATTCTATTTGAATAGGCAACCTCCACAACCGTCTGTATCAGGATCCTACAATTTGGATCAGACTCCATCAGAAACCACCTAAGTATCCGCTCAGCACCCGTCTACAGAAGAGAGCCTCTCCCACGTGAAGGCTTCGCGCCAGGTGGGAACATGCTTGCCGGGCCCTGGATGATTAAGGCCGCAATCCCGGGAAAAGCGCTAAACACCACAACTAGCATTCACTGAGCGCTTACTATGTGCCAGGCCCCTGGCTACAGCGCTTCACGGGCCTTGCCTCCTCTGATCCCCGGGAGGAGCCGAGGCCAGCAGAGGCCCTTTTAAACCTGAGGTCACTGAAGCTTGCCGAATTAAGCAACCTGCCCAAGTCAACGGTGGGCAAGCAGAGCTAGGTGGATCTCACCCCGGAAGCCCAGGCTGCACCTGCAATCCACCCGGGGGAGGAGAGGGCAGGCCGCAGGGCTAGGCGGCGACAGGCACCTCCCGGCGCGCAGGAAGGAGCGGGCAGGCTGAGCGAAGCGCGACCCAGCGACCCTCCCAGAACTCCGGGGGCGCCCGCGGGGGCGCGGAACCCGCACCCCGAGCCTCACAAGCCCACGGCCACCCCGCTTCCGAGCCCCCCTCCCGCTCACCTGTCCTTTGTCCAGCTGCTCCACGGAGGCCGGGGTCGCTGGAGCGGAGGCCGAGGCTGCGGCCGAGGGCGAGAGTGGCTTGGAAGCCGAACCCTCCATTTCGCTCTCACCTCGTGCAGACGGGCGCGCGGTACCCAGGGCTGGCCCCGCGTGCGCACGCGCGAGCTCAGGCCCGTAGCCGGAAGTTGGGGGGCGGGACCGGGCTCTCGCGTCACGTCCGGGAGCGCGGGGGTGTGCCCCAGGACGTCACAGCCGCGGGATTTTGGCGGCGTGAGTGAACCGAGTCGGATCCTGCGCCTGCGGTCCGAGTCTCTTGTGTGAGGCGCGGGAGCAGCCTGGCGATTCCTGGCTCTCATTCCGCACGGAGGGAATCGAGCGAGCGCCTGGAGGCGGGGAGGGGCTTGGGGAGAGCGCGAGGCCTGGCCTGCCACCCACCGGCGCCGGCCCGCCGCCGCCCCTTCGGAGGCCGGGGTGCGGGGACGCGAGCCGTTGAGTCGGCGCCGGTCTTTCGTGGGCCTCGGGTCTGAGAGAGGCGGGAGGTCAGCGCGGGTACCCCGAAGCGTGCAGGCTGGAATAACCCGCGGCCGGAAAAGGTAGAGTCCCCTCCCTGCCCGCGTCCCCCGAGGTCCCCGCTGCTACCTGTTGTCCTGGAGCCTTGCAGGGATGGTCCAGGCACGTTTAGAAAGTACTCATCCTTTTTCCTCTTTATGGATGCGTGGGCTTAAACTTAATCTTTTCTTTTTAAGATTGTATTTATTTATTTGGTAAGAGAGCACGAGCAGGGGGAGCGGCAGGCAGAGGGAGAGGGAGAAGCAGGCTTCCTGCGAGCAGGGAGCCCAGTGTGGGGCTCGACCCCAGGACCCTGGGATCATGATCTGAGCTGAAGGCAGACGCTTAACCGACTGAGCCCCCCAGGCGCCCATTAATCATCTTTTTTGGAAAGCAAATAGTAGTCTAATATACCCACTGTTCTGTAAGTTGTCTTTTGCTCCGAATGCATGTATGTTGGAGATTGTCAAGTCGGTACCTAGTGCTCTGCCTCATCTTTAAAAACGCCTTCTATCGTGTAGATAAACAGTTTATTTAGGAGCGTTGTGATGGACATGCAAGGTGATTCTAGCCTTTTTGCAACTAGCTATGGACATTTTTGAGACCTGAAAGAATGGGAGTAGGAGGCTTTTGTGTATGTTGTTTCCCCAAAATGCTCCTTCCATATTGCCATGGCTGGAGGAAGGCGTGTTCTGCTGCTGGTCTCTGATAGTGACTTTGTCAGTAATCAACTTGTGGAAGAAATGTTCTTAAACCTTGGCACCTACCCTCACTCGTCTGTTCTAGAATTTCGTGTCAGAGGGAATTCCTTTTAGCACAGTATTCTGAATTGTTGTGTTAGGCCTCGTGTATCAGCGTTTTCTAGTGTTCTGAGAAGAGCATTGGGGGAGTCACATGTGTCTTTTGAATTCAAGTCTGAGAACCAGACTTCTAGACCAAAGGCAAGGCGTGACTTCAGATAGAGGAGCACAGTCGTGTTTGCAAGGAGTAAGTGGCTGGAGCAGGGACATGCAGAGGGGAGGGTGGGAGATGAGGCTAGAGCGGTAGGTTAGGGAATTCATTCATTATCAGGCGGAAGGTTGATATGTACCTTGGAGAGATGTGTAGGTATACGGTTTTTGAACTGGTGGTGGGGAGGAAGAGAACGTGGCCTAATTCATCACTGGGCTCTGGGAAAGTTCATAATCTGGCTGTGATATTGTGATAAAAAAAAATTGGACACGTGCCTACAGATTCTTGGATATTTAAGTGATGGCGCTTCATTCCCTTCCCCGAGTGTGACTTGCTTCTATCAGGTAGGACACAGCTGACTGTAGTTTCCACCTTGAGTATTTTTTCCCCCCGCATCTCTCTCTCCCCCTCCCTCCCTTTACTTTTTTTTTTATTTTAATGATTTTATTTATTTATTTGAGGGAGAGAGAGAGAATGAGCAGGAGGGAGGGGCAGAGGGAGAGGGAGAAGCAGACTCCCTGCTGAGCAGGGAGCCCGATGCAGGGCTGGATCCCAGGACCCGAACCGGAGGCAGATGCCTAACGGACTGAGCCACGCAGGCACCCCTCCCTCTTTCCTTCTGTTCAGAGTATTTGCTTTGGGTGAAGCCAGCTGCCATGTCCTGAGGCTGCTTGGCCTGCTGCAACCACGGGAGTGGGCACGGAAGTGGATCCTCAAAGAGTCGAACCTTGAGATGACCACAAACTTTTTTTTTCTTTAAGATTTTATTTATTTGAGGGAGAGAGAGAGAATGAGTTGAGTGGGGGGCAGGCAGAGGGAGAGGGAAAAGCAGACTCCCTGGCAGGGAGCCAATGCAGGGCTTGGTCCCAGGACCCTGAGATCATGACCTGAGCTGAAGGCAACTGCTTAACTGAGTCACCCAGGCACCCCGACCACAGACTTGAGAGACCCTCAGCCAGAACCATCTAGCCATGCTGCCTCCTGACCCATAGAAACCGAGATACTGTTTGTTATTTTAAGCCACTAAATTTGGGGTAATTTGTTATCCACCATAGATAACTAATGGGAATTTGTAGACCTTCTGTCTTCAAACCTATCAACTGTGTCAAGTCCTAGGAGGACCTCACACCTACCAGGTCCCACAGCAACTCATTGTCTTCCCCACGGACCTGTATGTCCTGTGTTCTGTGTCTCAGTTGTTGGCACCACCAGCCACCTCGTTGCCCCAGTCATCCTTAACTCTTCTCCACACATGGTCAACAGCAAAGGCTTGTTTATTCCTTTTACATGGAATAATTTATATTTTATTTTTATTTTATTTTTTTTAAAGATATTTTATTTATTTGAGAGAGAGAATGAGATAGAGAGCATGAGAGGGGGGAGGGTCAGAGGGAGAAGCAGACTCCCCGCCGAGCAGGGAGCCCGATGTGGGACTCGATCCCGGGACTCCAGGATCATGACCTGAGCCGAAGGCAGTCGCTTAACCAACTGAGCCACCCAGGCGCCCAATAATTTATATTTTAAATGTCTCTCGTATTTATCTAATTCTTTCTAACCCTGCCATCTTGTAGTGCAAGCCGGCATCCTGTTTTCCCCAGACTATCCTATCTCGTCTTCTGGTCTCCACTTGTGCAACTTGTAGTCCATTCTCTGCCCCCTTCAGCGATCTTCATAACGTGCAGATCTGACCCTGTCAAAGCCAATCATGCTTGACCACCTTCATGGCATTATCATTGTCCTGAGGATAAGGTACAGATTCCTCCAGGCGCCTTACATATATCTGAGCTGGCATCTGTTATCTGGTATCCTAGCTGCTTTAGTATTTGTCCTGAAAAAAGGTGTCTTCGTTTGAACAGTAAATTACACGGTCGTCCACACGTCAGGCAGGCTTCATCCGGTGCCTCCCTTCTACATCTCCGACTTCACACACTGCCCCTCACTCCTTGTAGATCCTGCTTTCAGCTCCACACCTTCTACATACCTTGCCACGGGCCCTAACTTCTTCCTGGAACACTGCCACCTCTGCAGTTCTTGCCCTGTAATTGGCTCTCCCGTTTTGAGGATAAGCTTTCAGAGGGCAGGGGAGAGCCAGTTAATGGTAGGAAAATGATAAATGATATATGTTCACCACTGTGTCCTCGCACCTAGCACTTATCCCATGTGTGACATAATTAGTATTTCTTTAAAGAATGAATAATGCATTGGAATGGCCTGATACAGGGTTTAGGTGGTTGAGCACAGGAAACCACTGTGGTCTTGTAGGTACTGAAGTCTGAAAGGGTGACAGCAGTGAGGACAAAGTATAAGACTTGACCAAAGGAGCACCTGGGTGGCTCGGTTGAGCGTCTGACTGTTGATCTCAGCTCTGGTCATGATCTCAGGGCTGTGAGTTCAAGCCCCGTGTTGTGCCGCATGCTGTGCTGCATACTTAAAAAAAAAAAAAAGAGGAAGAAAAAGATTTGACCAAAAATTGGATATACAAGAAGGGAAATTCAGACTACTCCCAAATTCTGAATACCTGGGCACATGAGTGGTGGTGTTTTTGTTTTTCTGTTTTTTTAAAGATTTATTTATTTGAGAGAGTGAGAATGAGAGAGAGAGAGTACCTGAGAGGGGGGAGGGTCAGAGGAAGAAGCAGGCTCCCCGCCGAGCAGGGACTCGACCCCGGGACTCCGGGATCATGACCCGAGCCGAAGGCAGTCGCCCAACCAGCTGAGCCACCCAGGCGCCCATGAGTGGTGGTGTTAATAGAACTTGGGAAGGCAGGAGGAGTGGATTTGGAAAGAAAAATATGAGATTCTTTTTCAGTATTTTGAGCTTTAAAGTCCAGGGGCACATCCAGGATCTGGACCGTGGAAGAGAAGGTTCTTGAAGGAAAGAAGGGAGTCTGGAAGTCATGGGACGGTTACAGCTGTGGATGGATGAGCGTGCACAGAGTAGGACAGGGGAGGAGCAGGGCTGTGCAGAGGCCCGTGGTTCGGGAACAGGAGGAAAAGAGCCACTGTCAAGAGCCTGAGAAATAGTCCGGGCTGCATAAGGAAACCGGGAGGGTGCTGTGCTCCCTCTGGGGGAACGGAGATGCGAACGGGGTGGGAGTACGTCCGTACTGAGGAAGTTGAGAAGACATACTGAATAAGGCCGCGCTCTGGGCAGGTGGGTCACGTTGAGCTCACAGAAAGCCGTTTCGGTGGAAGGATTATGAGCCGTGTCAGAGGTAGAGGAAAGACGGAACGTGGGTGTGTCGTCAGCTTTACCAGGAGGGCAAATGAAATAAATGACAGTGTTTCCGTGTCCCAGGGAATTTGTCCGAGTCTCAGTTCTTTCACCACCAAGGACAGCGTAATGACAGTGCCCCGTCTCTCTAGCAGCATTTTTGGTTTCTCCACATATTGAACGTCCACAGCCTCACGTGACTTTGGGTCCCCAGCGCCCACCGCTGAGTTCACAGGGCGAGCTGAGGTGGGGGAGACGGATGTGAGACCCGCTGTGTGAGCGGCATTGTCGGGTGCCGTGTAGGTGCGGGTGGCTCACGAACTCACAGGACAGCAGTGGTAAGAGTTCCCCAGAGTCAGTGCCCTACCCGGCCCTGGTTAAGACCTGCTCATTCCGCCAGAACCGGGGGTACACACAGGGCCGGCCCGGCACGCCGAGAACAGACCCTTGCTCCCAGCGTGGCTCTTCCTGGTCCACTGTCTTCATTCCCTCCTCCG